CACTCTTTCATTATCCTTTCCATGGCTGCTGGTGTATCTTTTTAAAATCTGTATTCCAGAAAATTAGGGGACTTGTGCCTTGTTGATGAGTCTGCATGGAGTTCCTTGTCCCACTGTTTATTAAACTTAAGTGCTTGATACCTGGGAGTTGGTTCTTCAGCTTGTGATTTCCCTTTGTTATTCCATAATGAGATATTTCTGGGTAGTTTTTGCATGAAAATCCACTTGCCAAAACCTTGGGAAGTTTTTTTTCCTAATTCAACTCTTTATTTGTATGCTGTATAATTGCAGTTTACGCTCTCTATCAGAAGCGCTGAATCCATTGCCCTGGAATATATTGCGCTCTCAAATGGCTTTAGGGAGAGGCAAACCGTGTGATGGTCTTAACGTCTTTTTCCTCGCGCTCGCTGGCCTTATACCTCTTATGATCTTAAATACTGTGTATCGACCTACTACATTTTGGCTTCATGTAATTTAGCATCGGTAGATAAATAAGGAAGCCATTGAAATGTTTATGCTTTTTATTGACTTAAGGTGCTTTGGAGAGCAGCATTAATCTACAGTTCAGTGAAGCAGTAAGAAAATGAAATACTCCCTCAAGAGTTTTCTTTTGTAAATAGAGCCTTGCATTAAGCTGCTGTGAACTGGCATGCTTTCAGATTTTTGAATGCACTGTTTTTGTCTTCATTAGTAATTATAGCTGAGGGTAATAACACTGGAATTGTCCTTCATCAGAAATAACAATAAGACTTGATGATGTGGGTATGTGACGTGCTTTGGAAATGCTTGCCCTTGACCTCAAGCTTTAGGCCTGCCTCGCCACTGCCTGTCCTCTGGTGTAAAGGCCGGCTCCAACATATGGCCACCTTAAAATGCTAAATTAGAGCCGTAGCCTTTTATGCTTGCTCTATAATCGTTGCGGTATAAATGACCGGACAACAAAGAGGAATGAGTAATCTGGCTGTGATATTCAGTTGGCTCAAACTAAATTGCGAAACACAGTGGTAAAAGATGTTCTCTCAGTCCCTGCTGTTGTTTGACTGTATTTACTTTGGGGGATCCAACTGTGAGACTGTTATAGAAAACATATATTTGGATATCTCAGTACAGTCACCTGCTATATGAGTGACCTTGGTAAAGTCAGTTCAACCTTCTATACTTTACTTTTGCTTTAATTTCTTTTTTAATGTGGGCTGACAGTGGAATTGGTTGTTGTGTTTTGTTTTGTTTTTTTTTTCTTTTAACGGAGAAATTTTTTTTTATTAAAAACCAGAGAAGTTGTCTTGGGAGGTTTCTTGTGGGAAATACGAAAAATAATATTTACATTTCTCTAGCCTCTGAAAAAGTATATGGTTACCAAGCACTGCAAAGTTTATGGTGGTATTTTCGGTTTTTTCCACTGCACACACTTCTTCCCCATTTTTCCATAGAATAATAACTTTCATTTCCTGGAGAAGCTTTTAGTTTGTGGGACAAAATAAAGTCTTTTGCTACTGTAGTTGGAAAAACCCAGAAGGAAAATGTTCTGTTGTTCTTACTGTGAGACCTCTGAACACAAATATCCTAACTTTGGAATAAACATTACTTTCATTTTAGCCTCATCTATACCACAGATTAAAAATGTTTCTAAAATCTGTATTTGAGTATGTGTAATAGACAGATTTTGGTAGTGTGGATATTAAAGGATGTTGTGTGAGCCGCAAACCACAAAGCAGCATCTGCATCTGTCTGGCTCCCTGTAGCATTTAGGTTTTTGGTTGATTCTGCTATTTGAAAATACTGTCTTTTATTGAAGCGTTACCTGTACAGTTTCTCCATGTGGAGGATGATGTTACTTTAGCACCTATATTAGTTTCCTGAAATGTCTTTTTGCACTGGGAGAAGCAGGCTTCAAAGCCAGATCTAGTTCTAAGTACAGTTTATAACAGTGCTATTTAGCAGAGAACCTGGTAATTATGCTGGGTTTTTCTGGATCCTTTGGGAGGTTGGGTGTGCCTGGGAGGAAAGGTCATCTTCCCTTTTATTACTCTTTTTTTCCTTCTCCTGTCGTTCTTCCTCTTCTGTAGTAAATTGGTAGCCAGATTTATTTCCATTACGCTCTGCATACCACATAAATTACAGGATGAAATAAAAGGAGGATAAAACATATAACTTTGTTGTTAAATGCATGTTACTTCCAAGAAAACAAAACCTGTAGCTGATTAATTTTTAAGACTTTAACTAAAACTTATCTTTTCCTCTTTCTCCTTTGTATTGGCAGGATAAAAAGCTTGAACATGCCTCGTAGCCCAACATCAAGTGAAGATGAAATGGCACAAAGCTTTTCCGACTATTCTGTTGAATCTGAATCGGACAGCTCCAAAGAAGAAACTATTTATGACACAATTAGAGCAACTGCAGAAAAGCCAAGCAGCAGAATGGAAGACAGTCAGAGCAACACATTAGTGATTCGAATTATAATACCTGATCTGCAACAAACGGTAAGGGATATTGCATTGCGATTTAAAAAATAAAATAAAATAAAAAATTTAAATGATTAGCTTTGCTGGCTTCAATCTGCAGTTGATCTGTTCTATTCTCTTACAGTCTTTTAACAAATGACAGGCAAAATTTATGTCCTGTTTTCTTTTAATGTCTATGTTTTTTTACCCCAGTGGTATGTCTGACTGATTGCCTAAACTAAAGACACCATTCTGTCCAAGATTTGGTATGTTAACTTGATGGAAGCTGTGATCATAAAGCAAAATATCTGTCTGATCTGCATTCAGAGGTGTTTGGGTAGAAGAAAGAATTAGGCATCTAAAAGTCACTAGAAGATGAGGGTGAACCCCAAAATTACACATTGTCTCTACAAAAGCTTCCTACATATATAACCCCATTGTCTTCTCTAGTTTCTGTTTTCATGAGATCGATTGTGATTGACAGTAGACTGAGGTCTAGCAGGAGGTCATCAAATTCTCTCTCTCTCTCTCCCATATTAGTTGCCTTTGTCTGTCATCCTCCCACAAAAAGATATTCTTGTTAGGTAGCTGGTGACTTTTAGAGCATAAAGATGAGGAAAGAGAAGCACAAATAAATCTTTTCTTCCTCCTTTGCTGCTATGCCTGTACTACATGGTGGTGTTTTTCAGACTTCCACCCAGAGAAATCAATACTCTGTTTGGAGGAAGAATAAAGCATGGCTTCATACTGTTCGGCAGTTTTTACAATGACGTGAAGTCACTATTTTATTCTCTCCCACCTCCTCATCACTTATACTGGAAGCATATCAGAGAGCATAAAAACCTTTTCTGATTTTCCTAGAGAAGTCATTTGCAAGCTAACTCGTGGGCCTACAGCTATATCTCACATGCCTAAGTCTATTGGATGGAAATAGAGACTTTTCAACAAAAGATTTAATCTCTCACATTTTACAGAAAGAATTGAACAAGCTTTTAATTTGTTAAGAAATGTCTGATAAATTGAGCAAATGAGAATAAAAGTTAATATTTTTTTCATTTAAAAAAAGATCTTGGCTGTTTCTGACACATTAGAAATCTACAGTCTAAATTCCTCACTCTGTCTCACAAAGAACTACTAAGTTGTGTTTCTTTTATGGTTGAATGTGTAAAATTCAATGTCTGGAATGTTAGGAGTTGGAAAAGTTTGTTGTTGTAACTTTTGTAAGTAAAAGAATCATTTTCCTCCACAAGTGCTACGATAGGAATAACAATCTCATTCTGAAGAAAGTCTTGGGAGTTACTGATTCCATCTAGAACCACAACCTGTCCAAGTTTATGATTAATTATCTAAATTACCCTGGGCCTCCTTGAATGCCATTGTTGGTTTATTCAGTTGATGGTAGGCATCCGACTTTTTTTTCATTTCAAAGATGATTATAAAAACACGTTCTTTTTATGGATGTGTGCTACATACATCACTCTGTGCTGACATTTAAGATCTACATCATACTGTGCTGCCATTGAAGATCTATCTCAGATGAAATTATTCCTTTCTTTTTAATTAAGTTCATTTTTAGAATGATAGAGATGGCCTGTCTCCAGGCTGACAGGGAAGAGCTGTTTTGACAGTGTGGCCTCAGGTGTGGTTGCAGAGCTTTTTTTTTTTTTTTTTTTTTTTTTTAAAGCCCAATCTACACAGTGCTGCAGAAACACATAGAAATCTGTGTTGGAGTTAGGAGCATTATCTCTTAAATTCTTGTACTTAAAAATTCTTTTCAGTGAGGATTTCTGCTAAAATTACAGTACCACCCCATTAGTTTATGTGGTGTGAGATTAACCTCTATGAAGAGGAAGCAGTGTGGGACCCGAGCTGGCTGCGAAGGATTCAGAGGGCAGAGCAGGGCTGAGGCTGCTATGAGCCACACGTGGGATTTTTATTAAATCTTGGCTGAAGCAGTCATCACGTTGGGTCTTTCATTTCAGTATTGATTGAAATACTGAAATCCACTGTTGTACATCTTAAATTTGAAAGGATTTTTCCTGTAGGGAAGTCCTCTGTTAAGACAAGCTCTGACTTGACATGGTTAGGATTTTATTGATGATCCTACCAGCTTGCTATATCTTTGATTGTGTTCAGTGCTCAATGAATGGATCCAGCAAAATGGAAATATTAGCTTTACTTGCTAGGTTTACTCTGCTGTTAAAAGCAGAGAGATGTTGACCTCCTAAAGCCCTCTTATTTCATTACTCTACTTTTTAGACCAATAATAAGTTATTTATTGACACTATTGAAGCAATAATTTTTTTAAAATTCATTTTGTGCAGGAAATGAAATAAAGCAAAAACTAATTTCAGTTTTGTGTTTCATTTGTTCATTTTTATTGCTTTACTTTCTGCATTTTTTTCCTTTTCAATAAACTCTTAATGAAAAGTAACTCAAATGTTTTAAACAGTTCTATAGCAGATGATCTATTTCTGGTTTAATTTATCAGCCCACAAGCTCTTGTACAGAAAAGTGAAATCTGCATTCAGGTTTGCAAACAGGAAGACTGATAGCTTAAATGTAGTGTAGCAAAGTTTGGAGAAGATCATAGTTCACGAGCTGTATTATAGCTACAAGCCAAATCCAACATACAGCTCATTTGCTGTATAATTATAATTAATTTAACATAAGAGGTGTTTAAAATTAGTCTGTTTAATCAAAGGAGCATGAAATGACATCATTTAGTTTTATGTTTTTATTCTTTATTGTTTTTTAGAAAGTATGATCGATCAAGAATATATTTGTTTAAAAGAAGGCAAGTTTAGGGTTTTATCTAAAACTCAAGCCACTGGGAAGTTTTAAACCCATAGCTAAACTCACTAGGACTGAAACTGCTTATCTGCAGTGACTATGGTGTACATCACCTTTATTTCATTGCACGTATGAGAGAAGCACCAAGCATCATAAGTAGGATGTGCTGCTATAGGAAACTTTATAAATGGTCACCCATTGTAGGAAATCTGTCTCGTTGCCCTTTTATTCTCATCTGAAACTTTAAAGATAATGTAAACCTTGACAAGTTCACCCGAAGCTCTTGTGAAGACCTACTTTTCAGTTCTTACATCAATTCTTTTTTTGTCTCCTTTTCAGTTGAGAGGGTGATCCAATGTATTGAAACAATACTTTGTAGAAAGAGTAATTTCTTATTGCTTTTGTGCATCATCTGTATTCAAGTAAGTGTCATCCTTAGCACAGAAGGGTGGAGAATATTTAAAGTGACTGAAAGATTTCCTGAGCTCAATGAAATTAGTGAGGGAATGGAGAGCATAGAGAGCCCTCCATACTCTCAAACATATGTGCATAGGAGAGTGGGTAAAAAACCCTCTATATTATCTGGCATTTAATTTCCTGATTTAATAAACCAGGAGGCTCAGCTTTAGTAGATCCTTTATGGAGGCAGGACACAGGTGTAACCTCTTTTGACCAAAGACTTATTTGCAGTGCATCCAGCCCGGAGGGCTCTGGCTTGAGGATGACCCCTACTACGTGAGACGGAAATGACAGTAACTGACTAGCTCCTCCTCTCTTTGCTATAGCGGTGCAGAGTTTCTGGGCAGTTTAGGCAATATTCAATTGTGTCTGCCCTTAACGTGAGGATGCTTCATCCCCAGGGCAGCGAAGTTCAGTGTCACCTGCCAGCAGCACTGATCAGTGCAGATCTGCATCTTTCCTCCGTGGCAGCAGCCCCCAGCGGTTTGCTGCCCGAGGCGATTGCCTACCTTGTGTCTAGAGGCAAACGTGTCTGTGCGTGGCATCGAATGTCTTTTGGACATGGAGAACTGCATGAACTAATGTGTCTGGGCTTTCCTCTATGATGCCTGGCATATCCGATCTCTCCCTGCATCTTTTTGATCTGGATCCAGAGTAAGTCTTCTTGCATCTATTTCCTTTATCAGCCTGTGTAGGAACATATCACAAATGATTCTGCCTGTAACTGGAAGGAGTCTGGTGGTTCTTCAGTAGCTGTTGTCAAGAAAATCTCCTTTGCGTGATATTCTGACAGTGATGTCCAATGTTTTGTGCTTAGAATTGCCCTTTTTCCCAGACTTCAAGAACAGATCTGTCAGCCAATTTTTTTTATGATGAAAACATCATTTTATTATCAACACATGGTGGTGGTTCCGCTCTTTTGTTTTATCCTATGCTTAAGTGCTCGCTCTGGGTTATGTTTAAAATCAAAATGCTCAGATTCATATGTTTTATTAAATTCTGATGCTGAGATGGGATTGGGTCTGCTGAGGACTTCTTTGAAATGCTTTCTGCCCATCTGTTTTGCTGCTCTACTCCAGTAACGAGCATTTGCTGACTCCCCCCTCCCCTGTGTGTTGGTTTATTTTTATATTGGACTTTCCATGCAAAATGTTGTTTGATAAGCGGCAGTTTGGTAAAGCAACAGCTTAAGTTGTAGCTGCTTCTTGGTTTCCTCTTCTGCATTGCTTTTTATATTTTTGCATCTTTTCTTATACTTTACTTTTTCCAGTATTCAATGACCTTTAAGATTAAGAATCTTTTTTGTAGTGCTTTTCTTTTAGATAAAACATTTGTTTAGTTTGTGCAACTTTTATGAAGGTAGGAACCCGGTTGTCACAACTGCAGCTTGAGTCACATTTTTGCTTAAGATGCCCCCATTCTTACTTGTTTCCAGTCTGTACTGCCATCCGCTGCATCAGATCTATTCCAGGTTTTCTTCGCAAGTATTCTGTATCCCATTTTGTGACTGATTGTTCATTGCTGCTTTCTGTTTATAGTTGATCTTCTTTTTATCTTCAATTTAATGATGGAAACATTGTGAGTGCTGCTGAGATCTGTTCTTATACCCTTCATCTAGACAGGTGATCTGACTTGCCAGCTGATGATGGTGTGGCCAGACTGGGTTTTTTTGACCTATCATTTCATGAATTTGATGTTTTCTGAAGGCGCTTTTCTGCAAAGAAAGCAGTGCCTCCAAGAATTAAGTTGAACACTGAGCCCAAATCAAAATGAGTGACTAGCTCCATTTTTTTCCCATGATACCCAACTCTCATTTGCGTTTTCCACTTTTTGTTTGTCACATCTTTAATATCGACATCTTCTATTGAAAGGAATAACTTGTATTTTCGTATTCTGACAATCACACTTTGGAGGTAGCTGTACAAACCGTTTGTCATGGTTTCTCTGTCGCAGCGTAGTTCTGTGTGATTGACAGCTTCACGAGTCTGATGAAAAAGATGTGTTGGTTGAGAGACTTTGAATGGATAATGTTACTGCTCAGAGATTCTGTGTCATGAACATTATTCCCGTTGAATTAATATCTTCGCTTTAGCTGGAGAGGGTGAGCTATATTTTCCCTTCATTCTAGTCCTTCTGTTGCGCTTAGTGACTTGCTCTCACCAGTGTGCAGGAATGATGTCTCTCGTGATCCAAAAAGCTTTAATATCAAAAGTGCAGGTCTCACATTTCAGCAACGACCGAGTGGCCTAGTGTTTTTGAGCCACTCAGGGTTTCTATTTTGGTTCTTATTTGAAAGAACTGTTGCAATTTTTATGGTGTGTGTAGCTAGCCTTCAAGACAAGCTATCACGTTTTATCTAGTCTTGGGATGCAACAAAAAGGGTGGAAAGACTAGATCCCACATCTGCCAGTGCAAAAGATCTTTGTTTCATATGTGTTTCTGTAGTTCTTTGCCACTAAACTAGCCCTATTTTTTAATTATTTTTTTGATAATAAGTCGTTGAAGGTTAGAAAAAGTTGTCCAGCTTTTTTGACTCAGCAGCTGTCTCGTTTCCTTGTGGTCCGTCTTATTCTCTTGTTCAGCAGCTGCATCCGAGAGAGTGGTAACAACCTCCTTCTCTATCCTGCCTGGCTTGATGGAAAGCATAAATAATCATTTTTCTCACTAGTTTCACTTATCCGAATCTGAGAAATTTTGGTAGGAAACAGTTGTCTGGTTATTGATTTGCTTTTTTACATCATTGATGTAATTCATTCTAAATTACCAATGGGAGCAGCATTTATTAAAATAAGCACATTTTTCTTTCTTGTGAATCACAAGAAAAGCTAGGGCTGGGTATAAATTAGTTTGTGAAATTACTAGTTTCAAAATGTTTCCATGTTTATTCTGCCATTGAGGACTCTATAAAATATCGTAGCTAGAATCGTAGGAATACAATAGTGATATAGTTATCAGATAACTCAAAACAAGCCTTTGAGCTACTGCCATTGCAGTCCAGTGAAGGTGGTTAACTATCATGTCGTGTCATTATATGAATAAGCCAGACCTGCGGAAAACAAACTGTTTCAGAAGATAAATATTGTGTATTTCTGATGCAATGTGCATAAACACTACAGAAAGATTTATTTTCCATTGAAATATATTCTGAAGAAAGTTGCCAATTCAGCAAATCTTTGAGAATTAGAAATATACACCATTATCTGCGATATTCACATGCAATCAAGAGCAGATAGAATACAAGAATAGACTGAACAAAGTTGAACGTGTTGAATTCTCAAGATGCATTTAAAAAAAGCAGACTTAGTTAACTGCAGTCAGAAGTTATTGTTTTGTATTGTTAAAATCAAAGCAGTTTTGTATGAGTCCAAAAAATAATTTGTTTCACATAAGAATTTCATGTAAGAAAGACTCTTTTTTTAGAGTTGCTGAAAACTGCTGATGTTTGAATCTGAACTTTATATTGAAGTTTGAATCCCTGTAAGAGTCATGGGGCAAGTGAGGTTCAGAGCTGAAGGAACACAGGGATTTAAAACAGATTGCTGCTAAGTCAGTGCCTTAACTACTGGGCTGTTCGGGAATGAAAATACTGTTTATAATGTTCTTTCTGTCTCCCTGTCTCCTTCCCTCTACCATTTAAAAACCCTCAATTTTTTACAAAACACCTCGAAAAGTAAAATATATGAGGGGAATGAAAACCGCTTCCTAGCCAACTTTGTGACAGAATCTAATATCTCATTTGATTACATTTTTAGATTTAGGACTTTAAGGGATTAAAGCTCTCTCTTACTTCCTAGACCAAAGCATCAGGTGAGCACGTTGTGATGAAAGTTTTATCCATCTTCCCTTACATACCCCAAAACGTCTCCACATCTGTACTTGAGCCATATCTGAAAAAGTGCAGTTTGTGCAGGAACTGATGAAAGACAAACCAAGTGGTAATTTTTAATAATTCATGCCCAGGCACGGTGGAGCTGGACAGAACCCAACATTCACGAGCCTACCTTGCTTCCTCAGGCAAACCCTTGTGAGATGTTATCACAGGAGCTTCAGTGGGACTGCTAGCCCACAATGACAATTAGATGACATCTTGGTATCAGTGTTAGTGATAGTCCTCATATCTGAGGATTAATTCACAGAAACAGAGCCAAACTCCTCAACTTCAGTAGGTTGTGATATTCAAAACCAGCTAGTCATTTCTGCTCCGGTAAAGTGAATATATATGGAGGACTGGTTGACTGTAGTGTTTGCTCAGTTAAAAGCAGTTGTAAATTGAAAGTCCTTCATGTCCTGGTTGTACTTTTTACTGTTAAAATTTTTTGCCACATAATACTGAAACAGTCAAGAAGACATTGTGAACGTATAAAATATTTTGACTTCTGCCTTTGAATTTGCTCTTCAAAATTCGGAATTGAAATATTCAAATGAATTCATTATTTGATTTGTGTATATGACATCAGAGATTGCTTTCAGATGTATGCAGGGTTTGCCAGGATATTTAGTTCTAAAAGACAAACTGTAATCATTTTCTTATGGATGGCCTTGGGACTTTAAAAAGATGCCAACAGATAATGCAGAGGTGAGCACTGCAGAAGCAGCTGTGGGTAAAGTTAAAGGAAACACTTCACTCTCTTCTTTAAACATCAGTCTTATTTTTACTTCGGTTCTCTTATCTTTATGTACAATTATAATATGAAGAGTAGCAGAGGTCTTCAAAAGAGGCCTGAAGAGTGGTTACTGACTTTATTGCTGTAGCCAGAATGACAGCTACATTCATGGAAATGTACTGATAAAAAAAGATATATTCGTTAACATTTTTCTTTGGCCCATGTGCTGTCCCTGCATCCTGTGTTGAATGGCCTGGCATGGGGTGCTCATAATGCACTTCAGAGGCAACAAATGGATTTCTAGGCATTGCCATCTGCTGGTAGCCAATGACTACAGTGTAAGCTACAATTGTGAAATTCCTAAATTTCTTAAATTCCTACATTGAGCTTGGTAAGAAGCAGAGAACTGGAAAGGATTGTCAAGGTTTTCAAGTCTTCTGCTTGTATAGTTCCTCCCATGAACTTACCCTGAGATAAATGTAGATTAAAATGAAGTAGAATTCTTGCCTGAATGCTGGGGTTTTTTTTGTGAAATTGTTGCGGATCAGACTGGTTGTCAGAACAGCCTCGAGTCAAGTCAAAGCTTAAACAGCTTGTAACATCCCTATTACTTGGCTTTTCAAACAGGTTTGCTGTGGAGGGTTTCTTTCTCCGTAGAGAAGTATATGATCTCTGATGTTTGTGGAAGGACTTGAGATGTCCTGTGTTTTCACAGTACTTGTGCATTAGTTATTATAGAGGAATGCACGTCTCAAATGTAATTCTGTTGATGTGTGTTTTGCCATGGAATTTGTAGGTTTATTGTGTATGTGTGGGTATAGTTAGGACATTTGTAAATTTTAGAATGTAAGATACTATTAAATGTTTTTTTCATTAATTAGATTTTTTTATTAATTTTTCTTTGCAGAAATGCATTAGATTTAACCCAGAAGCTTCAGTGTGGGTTGCAAAGCAACGAATTTTGTGCACTTTGAATCAGAGTTTGAAAGATGTCCTGAATTATGGACTGTTCCAGCCTGCAAGCAATGGTAGAGATGGGAAGTTTCTGGATGAGGAACGACTTCTTAGGGAATACCCACAGCCAGTGAATAAAGGAGTTCCTTCACTTGAGGTATTTTAGATTTAATCTCCGAAACGTTTGTATTCTGATACAAACTATTCAGTAGGCTGTATTTTGAGGTTTCTACATGCACCTGAATTGCATTTGGGAAATAGTGATCAGCAACTCTGAACTTGAACCCTTGCTCACAGAAGTGCTGGTGTTCACCTGCTCGGTGAAGCTGTTCCATGTGTTATCTCCAAAGGCTACAAAGAATCAGCCCCCCTGGGAGATTTGATTTTGAGGTTTTCCTCTGCTGAGGATGCAGGAGATGTATCTTGTTCTGTGATTTAATAAAGAAATGTAAGATTCTAGGTTAAGCTTTTGGGTTTCTCATTAGGTTTGCAATAGTAGGGTAGCAGTTGTTGAATAACCAACCTTTGCTTTCTCTCGGAGAGAGTCTTTCCATCTCAGTGAAGCCTTTTTTTTTGTTTTCTTTCCCCCCACCCCCATCTCATTCCCTCCGTGCCCTCCTTCAGAGAGCACAGATTTCCTCTGTCTGTCTCCTGGGAAAGCAGTAAGGGAAGAGAAGTGAAGCAGTCGCACATAGGCACTGGAATTTCCCCCCTGCCCCGTTGCTCGTGCAGAGGCTGTGCAGCTGGGGCATAAACTGGGCAGAACTATTATGGCACTGGGCAGACATGGAGCAGAGCCAGAGCACACTGAAACACAGTATAGCAGGAAACTGGGGCATGAAACTAGTATTTAATTAACTTTGGTATTGCTTGTATGGTGGTACATCAACCACTAATAATCTGCAGTTAATAGACTTACTCCGCTATAACACAAATCCAAGAAAAAAGAACCAGGATCCAGAGAAGGTTTCAAGTCCCAGCTTTTATAGAAGTTTGTTTCAGAGATTCGATCACTGATGTCCATCTTATAGCCATAAGCAGATTAAATTACCACTTTTTTTTTTTTCATCACGTTGTTTCATGAGTGTTCACTGTTTGCAAAATTCTTCTACAGGATTGCAGTTCGGGGATTAAAAGTGGTCTTGTGAAAAAACGATATTAAAGCCTCATTCAAAAAGTCTCCTTGTCCAACAGACATGCTGCATTCTTTGAATTCTGTCTAGTACGATTAGATAATTCTAAATTATAACTAATCCCAGGATTTTTGCCATAGATCTTGCTACTCTGGCCGTAGGGTAGCAAACTGTTCAGAGTAAAATGTGAGTGAGTTTTAGCCAAAAAAAAAAAGAGGCAATTATCTGAACCTTGTTCGCAGGACCAGTCCTGTTAAACATCTGCCTATGTTGATTAAGGGATTTTTCAGGAATCTTTTTTTTTTTTTTTAAATTTCAGAAATACTAAGCTGATACATTGAAATATGTATTTTTTTATTTAATATGTCTTCCCAGTTCTTCTTTCTGCCTGAGACTGTAAATGAAAGTACACAGATACCCTTAGGGAAAAGCGCTTTTCACTGTAATTCTTGCTTATTTATGTAGATTCTAGAGGCTGATCGCATTTCCTATACACCTCCACTGATTTCAGTATATTTATACAGGATACAAATTTTGCTTAAATGAACTGTAAAACTATGATGCCACTATGTTAATCAGAGTGCTGATTATTGGTGAATATTCAAAATGAACTACTAAGCCTTTTTAAAAAATTTTGCCTAAATCTACATAATCGTGAATGATACTTTCTGGTAAAGTCAGAAAATTACGAGTTTTTAAGCAAAATAGGACATTTAAAATTTATTCTTTTTTTCCTCCCTCAGTTTCGATACAAGAAAAGAGTGTACAAACAGTTCAATCTTGATGAAAAACAGCTGGCCAAGCTTCATACAAAGGTATGCCCAATTTACTGGAGAAGTTGGCCACTGCCGACTTAGCAAAGCAAAATGTCTGAGAAACTGGAAATGAGTAGGAGTTCATTACCACCTGGGCCAATTGCTGAACAACAAACTGCGTGTGCTTCCAGCACCAACGGATGTGTGAATTGTGATCTGGGAATTCCCCTCGCAGAAGAATTCCCATGATTGACTCTTCCATATGTATACAAGTAATTTTAAATGAACTTTACTTTGTTAATACAGTGTGCTTTCAGCATGCTGCAAAAATGCCGATCTATGTCTTTAGACTCGTTTGCAGGTCAGAAGATTAATAATGATCACCAAACATCATCTTAATTTCTTACTGAATAAATCTTTCAGTCTTTTTTTTTTCCTTAAAACTGTGAAAACCAGAATCTTCTTTCTGTGAACATTATAAACCGTAGGGCTAATGCTCTCATTATAAAGTCAGGTTCTCCAGGAATGTGAGTGGATATTGACATCAGAATATTTCACTTTTCATCAAAATTTTCATTTTAAAATTAGAGGATGATTCATTTGTCACTCTTTGTTTCAGGCTAATTTGAGAAAATTTATGGATCATGTCCACCATCTCTCAGTGGAAAAAATAACAAAGATGTTGGACCGAGGACTGGACCCAAACTATCATGACCTAGAAAGTGGAGGTCAGAACAATAAAACTAGTGGCATGAAGTAGTACCTTTGGTTTGTTCAACCTAAATTGATTAACAGGCTGAATCTTACACATTCTTTCTGTTGCCTTCCTAACTCTGGGCTAATGGAGTCTGTATGGTTTTGCTGTCCAAAGGAGAAAATTGATAATTTAGGATTTTCTTTGAGCAGCATTTTTAACTTACTATTTTTAAAGTAGATGTTCTTTATTTTGTAAATTTGCTGATCTTTTTTTAAGTACGTGCTCTTCTGTTCTTTAGAAACACCCCTAACTTTGGCAGTTCAGCTTGACAATACAGTAGAAGTGATAAAAGCTCTGAAAAACGGAGGAGCACATTTGGACTTCAGAGCGAAAGATGGAATGACAGCTCTGCACAAAGCGGCCAGAGCCAAGAACCAAGTAACCCTCAAGGTAAATGCTTTCAGTAGCAAATTATACATAATTTTATAGAAAAGAAATATATAAAGGAGAATGTTTTCAGTTAATTACTGTATCATCCTCAGTGGATCCTTTAATATGTGCTTGCTCTAGTGCTTGCTTGTGGCTTTCAAATCTTAGCATTTGCTTTCAATAAAGGGCCTTTTAATTTCTGATTTTTTTTTTTTGGTAGGAAGAAAAAGTGGTGAAATTTAACCTCATTCATTGATAGATGGGGAAAGATCTGTCTGAAGACAATAGCGTTATTGTTGCTTATCTCTTTGAAAGTAAATGCCAGTAGTGTGGATTACACATTATATCTTAGCACAATCTCTCCTGTTTTCTTTTGTATTTTAACAGGTATTCTTAAAACACCTTGATATTCTAGATTAAATCTTAGGTTTATGGCTTTTGCTTATTTCCTTCTGACAGATACTCAAATTGCATGACATTTTTGATAAAGCATCTTGTAACTGAAGAGGTGAATGTGTTGCAAAGGTCAATGCAGCATTTTCAGAACTGAGATTCTTGAACTTAATGAGAGGGTGGAAATTGGACATCACCACTCATCCTTTCCTTGCTATCCCCGTAGATTCCTTTAGATCCTAATTCTTCTGAGGTCATTCCTTAACTTATTCTGTGCTGCAGCCAATTCTCTCAGCTTACACAGAAGTGAGCAACAAATATACGTTATGGCAAATATCAACCTTGTAAATACTTTTTCAGGTAGAAAAGTCCCTTAACAGTTAGAAGTCCCTCCAAAATACATTTTTCACAGTTTTTGATTGCTTTCAGACCCTTTTAGAGCTTGGAGCATCTCCTAACTACAAAGACAGCTGTGGCCTGACACCACTGTACCACACTGCTATTGTGGGAGGGGATCCTTACTGCTGTGAACTGTTACTTCATGAACACGCTACAGTCAGTTGCAAAGACGAAAATGGCTGGCAAGAAATTCATCAGGTAGGAAAGTTTTAAGTTTTGTTTGGAGTTTAATTTGCATGAGGAAATGTGCCACGTATGTTCTATGGTTAAACGTTGTTTTGAAGGCCGTTTGGATGTGTTTAGTCCATGCACATATAAGTATGGAATTACTTTCTTTTTCTGTTTGCCTATTATTTTGTATCCCGCTGTGGTGAATTAGAAGTGGAAACTGTTCCAGTGGAGTTCTGTGACTTTTTGAAGTCCTTTTGAAAATTTGTGGATTTTGCTGCAGAAATTGCACTAATCATATTTATATAACAGACTCTTGGAAGTTAGGCATCCCATTAGTGGCACTTCAGTAAAAAAAGTGGAACTTGATCTTTTTGTTAGATGCCAGTTTTAGTAACCTTGGTAATGCTTCTTGCGTGTTTGTCAGAGGTACTTTCTCCTTTCTCTCTAGTGAACTTTACAGGAAGATTCGAATTCAGGCTCCTGCTGCTAGGATTCAGTATGTTGTGCTGAAGGATGTTAAACTCTTAGAAACTCACCGTTTGAGTCAGTTTTCCTTCCCTGCGTGTGTGGAAACAGGGATTCTAGTGATTTTTCTTTTGCTGTTTGTATGGGGGTTTTCCTTTCTTCTCTTACATATTAAGTGTGTGTATAAAGATGGTAGCAATAAGAAAACTTATTTTTAAAAAGCAGTCTTTTGAGGTTTGTAGTGCTCATGATTCATCAGGCAATGGCACATCTTGGTCAGCTTCACCACAGCTATTGGAAAGATCGACCTCCTTCCTCACCAAAGACCTAATTTGTATCTCTTAAAAAGATCTCTTAATGGTTGGTAAGGCATCAACCTTACAGGCTTGCTTAGGTTATCTAGGCTCACTTTTTTTCTGTGCACTAATCTTTTTAGTACACAACTTCTTTTCTTCTTCTCTTTGAAAGAAATGAAAGATAGCTTTGGTACCCAAGTTTGGGAAGAAATCTGAGCTTTTTCACTGTGGAAGTGTGCTCAGATCAAAGTCATTTGGATCCATCTCCGGTAGGGGAAAAAAAAGGATTAATTTACTATCATCGTTTCTGAGGATGTGGAGGAAATGGATTGTTTAGATCAAAATATTAACTCATCTGGACTCCCTGAAATTATAGAGAAAAATTTCCTTATGTTGAAAACCAGCCTGATATGCATATGGATATAATGTCTCTTAATGAAACAGAGCTTTCCAAACACATTGCATTGGTTGTAATCCTAAATAAATCAATGTTTACATGTGGATTACGGGCAATCTGTTTTCAGTAATCAATAATACAAGCATTCCTCACTGAATTAAGAAAGATGGAGCTAAGATACAATCCCATATGTTGTCATCTGTGTGAAGAAGGCAAAGTTACCTCATGTGGCAAGGAAATAATTGGTAGCAAGTGTATTTTTCATTTTGTTAAGGCAATCTTTAACTGTAGAAGTGAAGCCTCTGGGTTACCGTTAGAGTAAAGGGGAAAAGGGAAGGCATTCTGGTGGCAGTTCATGCTGTGCTAGGATAGTAATAAAAAGGACATCCTCTGGAGATACCTGTCTCTCCCCGTTGACCGTACCAGGGAGCCCTGATGAATGGTTTGGATAGCTCAGCTCCCATGCAGGCACCTCTGACGGGGCGAAGTGCATCTCCCCTGCGCTGGTTGTCTTCCAGCGCCTCCTCTTAAGCTGAGTAAACGTTATCATCAGATTGGCAAAGAGGAGGCAAATCCCGCTCTAGCAAAGGAAGGGAAGTGGAAAAAGCGCCTGGTTTTAGTCCAGTTTATTGTAGTAAGGATGGAATGTTGGAATTAGTTCTTGTATTTTAGGAGTTGTTTTAATAATTACATCTGCACATTCATACCTAGATGTTGAGTGACTTTTAGAGACTAGACAGAATTGGTAATTTATAGCTAATTGTGTATTTACTCTAATTTCCCGCACGTCAGAAACACAGTTACGGTTTGGTACTGTTACTGTCTTTGCTTGTTGTTGGATGCTTGCTTTCCGTTGCCTAGTGTTAATATGTTCCAGTTGTAATAACAGCTAGCATAATGTCTCCTTTATTTTGGCAAATAATTTGTAAATGAGTAAAATATTTAATAAACATTGTTTTTTCCCTTTCTGTGTGTTGAAAATGGAGGAAGAAAAGATGTAATGGTTAGGATGCTAGACTGGGATTTGGGATGTGTCACAGATTTAATTTGTATATTGGGCAGTACACTTAATTTTTCTGATCCAAATTGCAAGATGTGTAGGTTTGTAATTCCCACTGAACTCAGTAGTAATTAGGTACCTAAGGCAGAGTGAATGGCTTTTTATACCTGTATCTCTCAGCTTAAATTCTATATTATTGTACAGGACTGATACTGATCTGTCGTGATGCAAAGTTAAAAACATTACAAATTGAGAGGTCCTCAGTTGATGTGCTATAGAGAAGGAGGAGGTCAGCTAAATGAGACTGATGAATGGAAATACTGTGTTTTTTATCAAACCTATTTGCTAATCAGGAAAGTTTCAAGTGTCTCATTCAGAGAGATTTATTTCCAAGTATTCAGGGTCTAACATTTTCTTTGTGTGACTGATAAAGTAATTCTTGAAGATTTTTCCCTCTTGGATCAGTGCCCTGTATATACTGTGTGTCTATCTGACGTCGCAGAATCAAGATGATGATTGCTTGAACTTTGGCCAGATTTCCCCAAACTGTTTTCGCACCTTAAAAGCAAACTTTAGAAATCCGATCATCTTCAGTGCCATCTAGTGGGCAACTTCCTGAAGATTACCAGGACGAAAAAAATCTGTTAGTCTGCTTGTCACATTTGACAGTTATGAATGTTAGTGGATAAAAAGTGCCAAACTTTGTATTTTCTCAATCTCTTAAACTGTCGTTCCTCAAATAAGCAGTGCTTAAACTTATGCAGAGAATTGCTGTACCTGAAGTGCACACATTGGTGTTTACAGGCAGGGATGTACATCTGGGTGTTAATCCTCCCAATTCAGTCCAGGTTCTAAAAATTAGACCCTAAGTTAAGTAGCATCTTTGCTAAAAATATTTACCTGGAACGCTTGCCTGGATTGTATAATAACCAAAATATGAATGCATCTCTTTACAGGCTTGCCGATACGGACACGTCCAACATCTAGAGCACCTCCTCTTCTATGGTGCTGATATGTGTGCGCAGAACGCCTCGGGAAACACAGCGCTGCACATCTGTGCCCTGTACAACCAGGTGAGCTGGCACGCACCTCCTCTGCCGGCAGACCCAGTGCTGCAGAGTCCTACTGTCCTCCTTCAGTGGCATAAAGGTCTCTGGCGGGAGCTGAGGGATGCCTCGGGTCCCCTCTGTGTGGCTAAGTGGGAGGGATGTCTTGCTTTGGGAGAAGATGGGTCCGGGGAGTCCAGTCCCATGGAGACTGGAAACTGGTGCTGTAAGAGAATGACATGTAGCCAAGAGAAAAAAAAGGCATAATTAAGGTACAAATGTCAAATCTTTTATGTCCATCCACAGAAACAGAGGCTTGTTGAGTTTTCTGTTGAAGGAGTTTAGTAGTTTGGTGTTAGGTTTTCCTGAGATGCAGTTTCCTCACTTTTAATAAATGGATTTTGGAATAAATTTCCCATTATTATTGATCTATAGAGGAAAGTTACGCTGAAGGAGAATGTAGTTCATTATTTTTAGTTTGATTTATTTAATATGCAATGAAGTGTTACAGCTTTTAAACAGTGGTCTTAGAAACTAGAAAGTGCATAATTAAAAACTGTATTATTAGTATTTTATTCACTGATTACAAATAGGGCTGCTCATTGTAGGTAGCAAGAGTATACATATTTACATACAATTAGAAAATAAAACAATGCCATATACTATTGACTTAAATTTATTTTTAGTGTCATATCTAAATATTTGTTTCCTATTTGGGCTTTATTGCTGTTTTGCTAGAATTTAAATTAGAATACAATAAGAAATACTTGGACAATACTGTGGAAATGTATCTGTAGATTATACAGAAGTGATAGGATTCTCTGCTGTTTACAACTTGTGTAGTCATTTACAAATAATAGAACCATTTGATTTGATAGCATTTTATACTCTTTGCATGGATGGGATGGAGAGGGAATGAGTTTTACAACTGTGTTAAAACACAGTGTATATAATGTTACATTGAATTAGGAAAACACAAGTCATGAGATGTGACTGCAACTAGTGAAACATCTGTTAAAGCATCTGCTTCTTAATTAATTACCATCTTAGGTTTTTTTCAAAAGTCTTGTCAAGAGAGATTCCTCAATTAGGTCTAAAACACTCTCAACTTTTTTAAAAATGGAATTTTGGGAATAATTTGACAATTTACAAGACTGTTGACTTGATGTACATGTCATAATTGCTATCAATTCATAAAGAGTCTAGCCGTACAAATCTTCCCCATGAATGCTGATTATTTGAAGTACGCAGCATATCAGTGGGAGCAGTACCTCTGCGGACTACTCCTTGCTCACTGCCTACCAAGCGTCTTCAACAGGCTGTCAAGTACCTACGTCAACTAGTTTAAGGTTAGCAGTAGTGTATTTGCTCAGCTTGGATGGCTTCTGCAACTATAGGCATACAAAGTTTTTGGAAGTTGGCACTTGTTAGAATTCCTAGAAAATTTTAGAGAAATTAAATTCACCTTCATCTCAACAGGAATTTTGCATTTAGGCTTCCCATCAAGAGCTTAACATGTGTAACTATAAACTCTTCTGTTGAAAAAAATATTTAAAAATATTCACTTTAATCTCATTTACTTCACTTTTCTTGAGAAAGAATTTTGAAGCCTGGACCATAATGCACATATAAAATTAAAAATGTGAAGTCATCTTTTTTTTGTTTGTTTGTTTTTTTTAACCATTTTATTGCAGTATTTTCATGACTATAGTTGTTTACAAGATCATACACTTTTAGCAAATGTTATGCAGTATGATGCTGAAATTAGAATAGTCCTGCAAAATGACAGTATTTTTCACATAGAGATGTGATTAGTTTTTTCCTGCCCTCAATGAAAAAAAGTTATTCTGTAGAAGACTTGGAGACTCTAATTGAAATTGCATCTACAAACTTGCAAATATTTTCATAGTCATTAAGCTTGGCTTTGTGAATGGAAGTTGAACATCTTGTGACTACGCTGTTGGGTTTCTGTTTTCCTTAATCAGGTATATGTCAAAATTAAAAGTTTTTCTCAGGGTGCTGTGAGCAGTAACCTATGCAGATTTTTTTGAGTGTCCCTTTTATTGAAAGTTATTAGCTAATGTGGAAGGAATGATGTTGGCCTTCTCTAGATGGAGAGGATGAGGAGGACAGCAGTATCCTTTTTACCTCTTGATTCCTGTAGATGGAGTCATTACCCATTTGATTTTTTCCCTGCCAATATTCCCTGGGTAATTTTCTTGGAATGCTTTCTAAAGTTGGTAATTCTGTTTTCCCAAGTGTCAGCTAAGTGCTGATCTGAATAAATTTTTGTTTTTAAAAGTTATTTTATGGCCATCCACTAACTGAATAAAATCTAGACAGATCTTATGCCTCTCTCTTTTGCAAATAACTATGCTGGAATGAACTGTGCCTTCTTTCAGTCAGTGAATTGGATTCTATATGAAAACTGTTTAGTTTTCAAATCAGTTAATTGACTCTCAGACAACAAATTGAATCTAATCTGCTGACAAGCCCACACTTCTCCATGAAATTCTTTTTAATCTTAAGAAGCCTAAAAAGCTACTGCATATTCAATTTAGGTGTGATATAATGAATGAACAATACTAAGCTCTCAATAGTTACTAGATTATCAGAGCTAAAATATGTGCAAACAGGAGTTACGGCATTCGTAGGCAGCACCTTAACAATGGAGAGCTCTAAAATGTGGATTTTCCGTTGAATTAACAAAGGAAAAGTAATCAGAATAATTTCTGGTGGTGACTTTTTTGCTTATTCTCCCTAGTTTGTTCCCTTTAATACTGCAAGGATGGAGAGGAGACAAAAGGGAGAGAAGATGAAGCTAAGAATGCTTCTGTTTGTTTTAAAAGAATAAACAAACAAATGCAGTGCTTCATCCAAAACAAGTTTTCTTGAAAATTCTTATGTTGAACAACTCTGACCACTTTTGTCAAAACCTTTCTTACCAAACCATTTAATACATAAATCACTTTGCATGTTTTTTTGTTACACTGCAGACAGCTTAGTTAAATTTGTAAATCATGTAGAGTTTTTAAATGTGTAATTCTTTTGCTTTTGTAGTGTTGAATTATTTATTCTGATAACCAAATAGTAATCAACCAATAAATGCAGTGTGTCTCTTAATATCATTATTTATATCCTCAAGTTCTTGATCAAATTTGGGCATTTTAATGCCAAAGGGTTCTACTAACATTTCCAGTATGTTTACTAAGCAGTACCTGGTGGAATACTTGTTATTACGGGAATCTAATACAGTGTGCAAACTTAAAATCATTTAGGAGCCAGTCAAAAAGGAATTTGTGGAAAAGTAACCCTGAAAAGATTTGACTTTTTAGTTTATTTGTTTTTTAACCTGGAGGTCTTCATCTAGATTGCAGCATGTTTACTTCTTTTGGATGATGGCTAATACAGAATAAGGAAAAATGAGAAAAACATTTTGATGTTTTACACATCGCTCTTGGTCTTTCTACATTTACAGATATAGAGAACACACCTAATGTGAAGATTTCAGTGCCAACAAATGACACTACTTCAATTAATTATATATCATTAAAAAATTACTCTCTATGAGATGATTGTTGATATACCATCTTGAGATGTGATCTGCTCTGTTGTTTCAGTCTGTTATGCAGAATAGGAAGTGTGGGGGGAACAAAAGGATATCTTTTTGGAGTACTGAATCTCAGTGAAAGCGTAGGATAGCCTCTTCCCCAGATATATTTGGGACAATCCTGTGATGGGGAAGAGTTAATGGGATCAAGAATCTGATGTGCTAAATTAGAAAACACAATGATGAAAATTATTTTCAATCATAATTTCTGCACATTCACGTATGACTCAGAATCTACTCAATAAGCCTCATTTCTGTCACTAAAATAGATAAATTATATGATTGTTTTCTCTGGCTGAAAATTTACTGTTAAAAGTGAAAGGTAGCGCATTGAAATACCTCATTAGGTAGAATTCCATAACACAACATGATACGAAATCTGGAAAGCACAACGAAATTAATAGAAATATTTCACAATAAACATAAAAAACATTTTGAAATGTCAACTGGTCTGCATAAGGTCCTAAGATGAACATTAAAGATGACATATAGGGAATATATCAAAAATATCATCAAAAAGCCTAGTATTCTGAGAACCGTGCCACAGAACCACGGAGGATTTCTAGCAGATGATGGTCAGTTGTATTTTACAGCAGTGTACAGTAGGGACTTAAGCAGTACACTGTATTTGTTCAAAAATATTGTGTTGAAGGGATTTCGTTTGCAGATTTCCTCAGTTCAGAGGATCTGAAGCCATACTTTTCTCGTTAGAAGGACTGTATTGGATTTGTGCTGTAACTTAGTATTTTTTAGGGGAAAAGAGAGAAGGTAAGATGGGTCAGCACAGTGTCTGTAGGAAGGCCAAACAATTTCAGGTACATTTTTTAAAAAATCATTCATTAAATCTTTAATTTAAAGATAGGTTGAAAAAAACCCCAAATTAGTACATGCAAGTGGTAAACCCGCTTTGTTTAATTTTTAGCAGTAGGGGAAGATATCGTTCATCCCAGGTACTGTTTACTATAGTGCGAACAGTACTGTTTTCCCTAAAAAATAGGCAAAACCCATATTAGAGTCAAATTTCATTTTGAACTAACGAATTTTCTGCAAAATCTGATTTGTTGAGTATGGAACTTCCCCAGTACAGTTTCTTAAAAATTCACGAAGATGTTTACCTCTCACATTCCTCTACATTATTTTACACTTGCATATTGTTTCTACTCTAACACTGCAAAGCACCTAAAGCCTTGTCATATTTAAAATACTATTTTAATAACTTAATTTCTCAGATAATTTATGTTATTTTCTTTTGTTCTTATCTAAAAAAAATATACCAAACAGCAACACATCTCATAGCCACAATATCTCTTTAGTAACTAAAGACACTTATGAACAAGTTCACTCTTCTACCATTTTCAGGAGAACTGTGCAAGAGTGCTGCTGTTCCGGGGAGCCAACAAGGAGATTAAGAATTACAACAGCCAGTCTCCATTTCAGGTAAAAAAAGAAATACCCTTTCCTTCTGCCCCCTAGAAATATTTGCCAGAAAATCTCACGCGAACTTGGTTTGTGGAGAATTTGCACTGCACAAGGCTGAAAACAGCTGGAGAGTAAGATAACTATCATTTTGAAAACTATGGCTTTTGTGTAATAAGTGAAGAAGTCCTGGACTAATTAGGAATGAGAGAAAAATCACTCTCTCTTAGCTGGTCTGATGTCACTGAGTTTGAGAATTATATGAGCGGTTGATGACAAAACATGAAATCGTTGGTGTCCTGCGGTCAGATTGTTCTTTGCTCCGTGATGATCTCCAGTCCGTGCAAGAGAGATCCAAGGAGTGACTGGGCAGCTACACTTTGCTTGGCCTCTCTTGCCTTAGGCAGAAAGAAGCTCGTCCTTCCTTGGATGCGAGGCCAAAGAGCTGGGCTAAGTTTCAGGGATGGGATTGATTTATTGCACTGTCAGCGGTAGAAGTTGAAGCTGTCATTTATATCTGCAAAAGAAAATGAAGTCTTTCTTTGGATTACTCAAAATTAACTAGATGGTTTCTCACCATTTTCTTATATAAAAGTACTTTCAGAACGCTTAATTAAAAACCCAAATGGAAGAAAATTTTTTGTCCAAGGGGCTGTCAGGTGTGCCTGACAACCTTAAGCCCTTATTTCTGAAGCAGTCTTAATTAGCCTGAATTTCAGAGAAACATTCATAATGCAAACTGACATGTGAGAAATAGGGATGAAAGCTGTAATGTTTTAAGCAAAAGGAACAGAAAGAATTTTGTTCAAGTTACCGAAAATAGTGCTTCTGGAAAAATGATGGCACGGTACCGTTAAAAGGAACTGTCCTGTAGTGAAACATGAGGGGACTGTTTCCCAAAAGCAAGTAGTCTTTCAACCAAAAGAAATCCCGATTTCCTTTTGCTTGTTGTATCTTTCCCGTTACATCCTCAACCCACTTTGGATAATGCTGGCATGGAATTCAAGGAAGACTGCCTTTTCTCTCATGCTTTGATAAGTGAAATAATTGGAATATTAACTATGCCCGTGTTGGTCTCTGAGTTGGCTCCTCAAAGTTTATGTGTAGATAACGCCTCTGAGTTTCAGGCTTTAAAAAAACCTCAGCCAAATATTTCTACATCAGTTTAATTATCTCCATATTTTGAAGGTTTTCTGGATGTAAGTTGTGTATCTCAAGAGCTTAAGAGTTCTGCCTGCAAATCCCAGTCAGATCATTGTTTACTTTTGGGACTATTTTCCCAAAATTGGAGAAACAGTGCATTAATAATTTAATTTTAGGCACCATTTTTGGACTGCTAATAGTTTGCCATCTAAATATATGCTAAGCACAAATTCACTAAGTACGAGATATTAAAAAATGGAATAAGAGAAAACCCCAGTTATTGGAGGGATGGGTTCCAGTGTCATCTCTTTACTGTGAGAGATTAGATTATTACTTTATATCTTTGAGATTAACTTTTCTTTTTGGTTTAGGGTTTTATGTGGGGACGGTAAATGGCAAGTACAATAGTTTCTATTTGTCTTCCTCTGTGTGCTGACTCCTGCAACATTCTTGTTCTTCCTCTTAGAACAGAAAAATACAGGGGAAAAAGGCGGAAAAGAAAACCTTTGTAAAAGCTAGTGCTGATGGTTGTAGGGCTTCAAGAAGTGAAGGATGGCTAGCCAGAGCTAAATAAAATCAAGTGAGCACAGGGGGCAGAAGAAATAATTTCAAGAGAAAGGTGTAGCTGTGGAAGTGCACTTACTGACCAGTGAACTATGTCCTGTCCCTATGGAATAAAATCCTGTTTGTTGTTGTTTGTTATATGTTACGCTTCTGATGCTTGGGCTTTTGACTGGTCACTCTTCCCCTAGCATGGACAGAAGGACTGACAGTTAGGTTGGCTTTGTTTTATCCTTTCTAGGTCCACTTCCTGAAAAAAAGAAAATTACTTCCCATCTTTTTACTCTGTGATGTCTTATTTTTAGACGTAGGGAATGTAGGAAAAGTTCTAGTTTTTCCGAATGGAGCGAGTAGGAAAAACCCTGACGCCAGCACTGCAATAAAGCAGCATTAGAATTAATTCTTTGCCATCTGTCTGTTGCTGACCCAGTCGATCAGACACCACAAGTGGAGCTGTTATAAAATTATGCAGAATCCCCTTGAGTTAATAGGATTTTGCATACTAAAAATGTTTACTCATGTAATCAGTAGCAAGGAACATCGAAGCATCTCATATGTACATAATGAGAATGGTTGTAGCTGCAGCATCTCTTCCTTTGAGTAACCTCCATTATGTTCTTTTCCCAGAAATCTAAAAGGATGATTCTTTTGAATTGCTGCTTAGAAAATTGATGATATGAAAACTGTGCTATTCTGTAAAACAAAAGGTAGCCAGACATGGGGAAATTTGTGTGTTGCTTTCAAGGCCTGCCAAGGCTTTATTTATTTTGATGAAAATGAGCAGCAGAGTTTGTATCTAGCATCAGTGTCCAATGAATGTAGTGTAATTTTACCACCAAAGAAAAAAAGATGTGCATGCGTTCACTTCTTACCAAATCACAATGTTTATTAAAACAAGCATGTGTTTACCAGATCATATGGAAGGAAAACTAATCTGGGCTGAACTCTGTGCCACTTAATTCAGGTATCCCACACTGCGTACGCCCCTCTGCCTGGGATCTGGCGGTGCTTTTTGCCTTTTCAGTGTCTAGCAGAGTTACTGTTGGAATGGCATTGCCAGGTGTTGAGGCCATGAAAAACCTTGCTGGTATTTCCCAATTAAGCACCTACGCTTTTATTAGCTACCTTTGAAGGAATGTGTTTCATCCTGGCTGATTACTGGGGTTCATTAAGTTAGTAATCAGTGTTGAGTACAGTTGATGTCACTCATAGCCGAATGTCTGTGTGTGACTGTCAGCCTTAATAGATTGTGATGCTGATAGGCTGTACTCTGCAATAACACAATATTGGTCAGCAGAAATGTCTGTATGTTTTTTGTGGGGTCCCTCCCTGCTGATAAGTATTAACGCTTGTATGAGTGTGGGGTCAATCTTCTCTCTCTCTGTCTTCCCCTTATATGTTCCAAGTACATGAGGGCAATTCCTGCATCACCATCCTTGGTCCAAGTCTGAGAATTTTTTGTGTACTGAGCATTTTGGTTAAGGACTGACTAGCAATTAGAGTTAAAATGAGACCTGTGCCACGTCATTATACTATATTGCCAATTCTGTTTATTAATCACTTATCCATCCCATCTTGGCTGGGTAATCTAAATACCTTATACCCTAATTATTCTGTGCTAACAGATGGAAAAAGCCATTGGCATTACAGAGCTAGAAGTGCTGGCTAATAATACACTGTTATATACATTGTGCTTGGCCATTTTTCTTTTGAAGTAACTAAAATTGGAGCAGGTCTGTGCTTTCATTGGTAGCACTGAACTTGGATGCACCCTCAACCACGCCTGCCGTAAGTACTGCTGATGCCTCCACAACCATTCGTACCTTATGATAGAGCTTGCTGAAACACGATGTTCACCACCGACATACAGTGCATCAATTTACAGCTCTCATATACTGGCTTATGAAATGCTGAACTGTAACTTCTGTTCCAGCTATAGGTTAGCTTTAAAGTTTCCAGTGGTTTTAGGGTTTTTCTTTATGTTACAGTTTCTATTTTATTGGTAAAATGTTCCAAAATACCCTTTCAAAAAAGCCATGGTATCCTATCAATGTCCATAGCTACACAGTCTTCTGCACATTTTATGTGTTCCTAGATGAATGTAAAATAATTTCTTACTATCTAGCAAATATTAGTCCAGTAACTCAGAAATATCAATTCTGCAGTGCTTACAGCTGTTGAAATTCTATCGTATAAGTTAAAATGAACATGCACATTGTTTATCATGTTTTTCCTTTTTTCTTTTAGTGAGCAGAAGCTCTATGTGAATAATTTACAAGTTTTCATATGGGCTATAAAGCACTTTCAAGCTTAGAACTAATAGAGCCAATAATTAGTCAGTGGTTTTGAAGCATATGTGTTGAAATATACAGAAGAAATATTCTGAGGTACATTTAGCGATACCTTTTAACGGCGGACTTGTACCTGAGAGTGATTTCTCTCTCTGATGTACCTTATTACAGGCCATTGCTATCCCAAATCAGCATGAGTTATTAATGTACTTATGTGACATAGATGTCAGGAGGAGCAGCAATCTTCCAGGTCCACTGCAGGTAGAATTGTTCCTTTCCATGTGTTGGCTGTACATCAATTTTCAATTGCTCATATTTTTGCCAGATTTGAATCATTTGAAATGAAATTTTCCATGCCTGGTATCTCAGGCGGCATTGTTTGGAAAAACAAAATGATTCAGCTATTTCGGAGTATGGGTGAGGGAAAACATGTGTTGTTTTGCTCATACTGAAAAACTCTGTTGACCCACCTCTCCTTGTCCCATCTCCCCTGTTGTGTTGTGTTGTTTTGTTTTGCTTTGTTTAATTGCCCTGCATGCTGTCAGTGATCTCCATGTTAATAACGTGGCAGAGTAAACCGGTTTGCAGTCTGACTCAAATACAGGGGCTCCAAAACCAAACTGCAGTAGTTGGAAGCTAAGCTGGCTGGGGGAAATACAGACGGGCGCGGTTGGCGATGGGTAAGTAATCGTTGAGCTTGGGGATGGGTGAGAAAGTACAAGACTGGCTGAGACTCAGGCTGGGAGCCTGAGCCTGAAAAGGTAGAGTGAATGGAGCAACACCAGCATTGATGGGGGTCTTGGGAAGATTTTTAGTCATCATGGGTAGAAGAGAAAGAAGAGCAGAGTAGAGGGGAAAATGGATGAAAAGGTGATGCTGGGGAGGAAGGCTCGGACTGTGGAGACTGAGCTGGGAGGATGGGGCTGCCAGAAGGTGGATGTGCAACGATGCTCCCAGCTTTGCTAGTCGTCTCTAAAAAATGAGTCTTGTTTATTATCCAGCACATCCAGAGACTGAGCTGGGGGG